TGCGCTATACAATCCGACCGCGACCGGAGAAAGCGGTTGAATGAAATGGGGGAGGTTCTGAAAAATCCGAATCACGCGCAAATTTACGACTATTACGGATGGATACAGAGTACGACGATCGTTTCACAGAAATCTTCGCGGTATCGCCTCGGCGGGCTCGAGGAATTTGATTTCCTCGTCGGTTTGCATGATTCTGATTGAAGTGATTGAGAAACGCGGGAAGGGGTGCGCGAGGGAGGGAGGAAGAGTGCCGCCGACTGAGGGCCGATGATTGGTGGGACATTAGTGTAATGAGAGTCTTGAGTTAAGGGGTAAAACGTGGTAGCGGCTACCGCGCGCCGTGTATCCGCCATGATTAGAGCCTCGGTGGCGTTTTCGCCGATATCGTGAGTTCGTGAAATCGCTCCTGCAATTTTAATCCAGTCTCGGATAGTCTTCCTTCGAGTCGGTGGAAGAGGGAGAAAAAGGAACAGGAAGAATACCGGCGCTGGAAGAGAATCTCCGCGGGGCTCGCGGGAAGGAACGAGAACAAAGACGGAATGTAACAAACAACGGGAATCGATACGATGAGCATTCGATAGAACGAATATGCGCGCGCGGCCGACGTGCGCGATATACGTGCGATCGCGCGGCTCGATCTCGATTGGCAGCGCGTATTATAGTTTGCTATGAAGATGATTTATGAGCTCGCGGAATAATGGACGCGTTTGTGTTTTCTTTCTGTAAATGCGACAGATCTCGAATCGCGCGCGTGATTACTTTGAATATGTCGGGTCTTTATACCATACGATGATGACCAGATTTCGATGAACTGACTCGCTACAGCGATGCACGCTCGGTTGCCCATTTGCAGGCGTTCATTGTCGAGCGAGTTAATCGGCGCCAAACGTTATCTAAATTATCACTTCGTAGAACTGATGTCAGTTAGTTTGATATTAATTTACCCGATATTTTTGTACATACTATAATCTGCATAACCATTAATACCGAATTTTCCCGACCGCAACTAAAATGATTTAAACTGCAAATTATCACAAATTTATTCGGTCGTACGAATTTTTTTTATTTTATTTTAAACTTCGACATATATCAATATGCTTATAATAAGCATATGTGTATGCTGCAATATTCGTGATACACTATCAGTTCTATAAAAGTAACTGATATTATCTCATGAATATTGCATACACATGTGCAAGTAGAAGGTTATATAAATAAAAATTCATACGACCGAATAAATTTGTGATAATTCACAGAGTTTGAATCATTTTAGTGTTGTGGTCGGGAAAATTTGGCAATTAATAGCCATGCTAATCACGGTGTGTACAAAGTACAAAGTATCGACCGGTTGAATTAACAACAGGCCGACTAAAATCAGTTCTACGAAATGATGCCTGTATGTAAATAAAAAATGGATTCGATGAACGGAGACTCCCTTCGGCAAAATTACACTGAATGACAATGTCTTCGTCTGTTACCATAGCCCGTATAAAATTATAAGGGCTACCCGTGTACCGTCCACTTACTCCTTAATCGGAAGCTACCGGTTCGAGTTGTATTTCGAATGAAGGCGCGCGATGCACCGGTTTTTCGTCGGCGCGGCAGATCGAGATCGTCTCGTTCTCTCGTGGGCCATTACGTATTCAGTGGCCAGCGCCATTTTACCTCGACCATTTTTGCCGATCAAATCTTAATTGTTGGCTGGCGGCTGTCTAAGGAGGCGTGGCCACCCGGTTGGTTCACTTTCAGCCACGCGATGCACGAACGCATTGGTTTTCTTCCTCTTATTTCTCCTCTTCCTCTCCCGCTTCTTCTTGCTCCCCTTGCATGTTCTTTGCGCGGCCAAGGAGTGCGATGCACCGCGACATCCTCGGGTCCCCCTCGCATCTCGCAGCCGGCGCAACGGTGTCCGTACAACGCGTATGCTAATCGCATCGAGTTACCAGAACCGTAGGTAATTGGGTACAGTAAGTGGGCACCCCGACGAGACAGCTCTCTCTCTCTCTCTCACCCTCTCTCCGCCACATTCAAAATACGCGAGATCCTTGCACGAGAAACTACAAGCGTTCTCTCCGTGATTTACATCAAAAGTCCGCTCTCTTATTTTCTTACATATAAGTTAACCGTACGTCGGAAAGCTTTCGAGATCATTAACGAAGCTTACCACTCGGAAGATAACGACAGGCGCAAAAAATTAAATATATTACGTTTTATCATTTTCGGGAGATCTCAATGCGTAGGTGTCAAGAAAATTGTAGAGGGAAGACAATATCATAATGAATAATCAAGTAATAGAGATGTCCAACTGCGATTCATGATAAACGATGATGAACATCCGATAAAGTTGGTACATTGCCGCAATTAATCTTAATGACGTAAAGCGGCAATTATCGATTATCCTGCGACAATCTCCAGGCACTACTGGTACCGCCACATAATAAATCTACTCCTACATCGCGATGTAAATGCCAACTAACTGTTACACGGACAAAGTAGCCGCCGACACTGGCGGCGCGGCGAAAGGCGGAGTATTACGCCCATGGTCTAGCCCATCGGATTCCTGAATTGCAAAGTGCAACTACGCCATACGCCGCTTAATCAACGGTCGTCAATGTGTCCGCTGCAGTAGAACGGTTATAACTCTATCGAGGGAGACGAGCGTCGCCATGATGGGAAAGTTATAAACATTAAATCTTTATGCAGATCGCTATATGTGAGCAATTATTTTTTTACACACGCGCACGCTTTACAACGAGATAATTATTACGGAATGCAGCCATCGATTTCTGCGTTTTATTTTAAATGCATAAATGCCAGTCACGCGAGAACAGCCATCAATAAATAAAACCATTAACACACGACGCAAAACATACACATCGACGTTAACGAATGAAATAATGAAGCCGTCAAATTAATATACGATAGAACGTGTTTAGTTACACGTTATGTATCATTGATCGATCATCGATATAGCAATGATTTGTCATGATCAATTTTTGTTGATTAATATAAGTTGAAAGTTTCTTTCTCTTTTTGCTGCTCAACTAAATGTAACAGCATCTGCATAACGCGTAAGTCTTACTGTTGTATAAATTTACTGTTGCAACTATATTTACGCCGAGTCAATTAGTACAGATATTATCAGAATATGATATCGAAATGAAATTTCCCGAAAAAATCACGATTTATGAAACAAGATCACGCTGTCGGATTGTTTGCCTATGGCGAAAGGAGAGATTAGTCCTTTTTACAGGACGCAAAGGCGCATCCTGTAAAACACTGATTTCGACCTACGCGCGCGTCCGTCAGATACTATCCAATTAGCGGCAAATTAATATTACCCGCGGTGTAATCAGGATGGTACGCAGGCAGGGGCGCTGCGCACCGTTGCCAGCCTTCTCTCGGCATAATGACACGTATTACTCTGATTGGCAACAATTGGTAACAATTGACGGGCGGAACCGAGCCACGAAGGTTCCGCTACTTTGCCCGCGTTGTTTACGACCAGAACTTCAAAACGTTACACCTTAATTGTCTGGCTACATGCTCGAAGAATTATCAAGGCTTCCTTACATCCCTACGTCATTACTTATTAGACATACAGTCGGCTCTAGCACGAAGCTGCAATATATAGTCAGCTGTAAGCTCGTTTTTAAAACACCGTTTGACCGGACGGAGCTTTCTCACGTGGAAATAAATACAGATGCAAAGGATCGTGACATCCGCTCGTTAATATTTCTATTAAACTATCGCGAGATTATATAACGTCAATCGCGTATAAAGACAAGAATATTATATTACGTAATCTTGTATCAGATAAAAATAAAGAACAGATGTAATCAATATAAATATAAATGGATAGATTATAAAAGACTATGACAAAAGTCATTTGTTAGATAGATATGATAAATGATGCGTAAAACCTACGCTAAATATCGAGATGATATACCACCACATTTGTTAGCATAGCTGATAATTAATGAGAAATGAAATTGTGTCGTGAGGACGTAATGGAATTGGCAAAGCAGTGTTAATCGTTTTTTTTTCCCCCATGAAAAAGCATACCAGAAAATTGAATAAACTGACATAAAACTGCCAAAGACTCTATGACTGTCGGGACGCGAGTTAGAGAAAGAGAAGTGGAAATTACTGGTGTATTACGATGTTGTAATAACTTCCCGACGACTCGGATGTACGCTGAGCTCGACGCTGAGGAAGGACCATCGGTTGCATTACGCGCCCGTAAAATGCGATACTGCTTCTACGTTGCATCCGCTCTTTCGCGATTTTTTAACGGATAAATGAGAGATCGTAGGACGGCGAGTTTATCTCTCTCGGTTCCCGTCGGTAACGATCGGTAGAGCGCGTTTTCTCCCGTCTTTTGCATATCCGTATTTGGAACGCGACGTCGGCCGGAAAAAAATAACCCTATTTATAAAGAATATTATAACATTCTACGCTTTGTGCAAGTATCGCGATAGGGACAGGAAAGATTTCTGCATATTGCGATGCGTGTCTTAATAAAAAAAAAGCTATATTAATTAAAAAACTGTATTAAATAGTAGTTCGGCGCATCAACGAACATTTTCGTTGGCGTTGTCGAGTTATACGATGATAAATCTTCTTCTGAACACTATCTTCCGCACATTCATTTAGACTGTTTACGAGCAGTGTATAATGGAATTGTGTTGTTTGCTATCTCCATATCTGTTACAACAGTTGTACGTAACAGGAAGTATCTCATGTTCCCTTTTATTGTTAGCTACAACAGTCATATCATAAAATCCATCAAGATAACGAATGAATTTATAATTTTATAATTCTTTTCTTTTTTCCGATAACTATAGCTACAAAACTAGATGCAATGCAAACTGTGTCGCACATGCTGCCTTGATAATATCGGATGACTAGCGCTTTTGCATCAATCTATATCTTTATCGCTCATTAGGTGTAAAATAAGGAGAGAATAAGCAAATAGCGATAATAGCACGCTCCCCGAATGCACTTTAACGCATGCGACGCTTTGAGCATTGCTTGTAAGTTCATGTTCAAATATGCATCGTTGCATTCATAAGTGCTATTTCAAGAAGGTTCAGCCTCAACAGTCGAAGTGAGTCTTATACGATTGTACTAATTCACCGAATGTAAGTTGGACCATTTAACAAGTATGTGTACTCCATCTTAAATTTTGATAAAAATACACTCATTTGGTATTACTTTGTATAAAAATTAAAAATAAAAATTTTTGTCGATATACCATATTTTATAAATTTTATAATATAAAAATAAATATGAGTATGATAATCTTTGTTTCTCATACCTATGTTATCTTTTATCTAATATATATCGTAAAGAATAATTCATATTTATTTCTATTTTTTCTACCTGTCAACATCAATGGTGTACAAGATGCCGATACTGCAAGATTATCGAAGTTTATCAAAATGTTTTTTTCTAAATTCATGCTTTTTTAAAATATCATATACCAGAATTGCGAATCGCTTTGTTTTGCGCGCGTACACGTCTATGTGTAGACTACTTTCAAATTTTAAAGGTTTTCAAAATATACATTTGTTTTCTACAGTAGATATTTACGCTGATAAATTGTATCAAACATGTAGTAAAGCAGACTTTTGCACATCCACATTATATTTTATCCACGTAAATTTTAATCATGATGGATCATACATTAATTTATAATTACGTATTTATCATTTCTATCATATCATGGATTAAATTGTCTCGATTACAGTAAATTATAAAAATAATAAATTTCAGATATATATCATTGTGTATTTTTATTGCTTGTCGGAGAATCATTAATCGAGTTTGTCATTTAAACTGTGAATACAGTTTAAATTGCGTTTAAATAGAAACATGATAACTTTAAACGTTGTCAAATATTTCAACGGACCATGGAGGAGCATTCTCGGAAATAGGTGTGATATAGCTATTTATACTTTATATATAGAATAATTATATCTAATCGTGTTATTCCACCTCAATCTAATTAAAGTTTTCTACCTTTAAATCAGAAAGTAGTAAAACCTTATCTTTATATAATACATTATATAAAAATATTTGTTCAACTGAATGAAGATAGATTATTTATTGTAGATTATCAGGAAATATCGTATGTGTCAATAAAACCAGACCAATGTCGACGATAGATTCTAAGGCAGTTGAATATCATTCTGGTATGAAAAACATTTGGTGGGACGAGAATGGCCCA